CGCCATTTGTAATAGTCGTAGATTTATTTTTCGCAAACTTTATAACTGTTAAATATGCATGCAAGAATGAATGGACAAATTAAAATCAAGCGTAGAACACGACAAACATGACAAGACAAATAACTGAAACATGACACACAATTCGCACACACCACCCCTAGGGTACGCCTCACTGTTGCCTTTCGAAAGGTGGTCGTCAAGTAGAGGACGTCTTAGTAAGTCCTCATGATCCGGGAACCTGGCATGAGGGTAGCTTCTAAGGTGTCTTCCCATTGCTCTGGTGATCACCACGTCCCTAAACTCGAATTGACCCGAACACCTCCAACGGTGGTGCTACCAACCTCTCAATGGTGGGATGGCATTACTTTCAAGGACATTTACACAGACGAATTCCTTAGGGTAGGTAGGTTCTCAAGGATACTTGCTCTTTTCAAAACAAACTCAAAAAGACTTTTCACACCAACACATTTTCAAAAGCTTTCAAAGCAAATTTTTCAAACACTCTGACACAAGAGTCGATCTGAAACTTTCAAAGAAACTTTTTAAAAACCCACAGTTGAAAAGCAAACAAACCATTTTTGAAAACACAAGTGAGCAAGTATCTAAGAGCCCATGGATAACCATGGATAGAAAGGGTGCTAACACCTTCCCTTTCTATAATCTACCTCCCGAACCGAGAGCAATCTCTTTAAGGAATTTTTCTGTGCTTTTGTCCTTTCCCTTTGGAGAAAATAAAAGACGGTGGCGACTCTTGCTTCCGCGACATTTCGCGAACCAGCGTTAAACAGTCAGTTCCAGATCCACCGATCACACTCCTATGTCTCAAAATCGAACCTTCAAGATTAAACTAAATGTGATGGAGCACAAGTGCCTTTCGACTGCAGCTAGCAGAGATGAATGGATATGGCATTATAGACTAAGCTTTCTCAACTTCAGAGACATCAGATATTTGAAGAGAAAAATATGGTTTCAGGATTTCCTGAAATTGACATTCCATTAGCTTCAGCAAGGATGCAGGAAGCAGATCGAAGGCTAGTCTTGAAGTCATATACTCTGATGTATGTGGACCAATCCAGGTGGATTCGATGAGAGGTAACAAATACTTTGTTCAATTCATAGATGATTTCAGTCGAAAGCTGTGGACTTATCTGATCAAGAAGAAAAGTGAAGTGATCGAGGTATTTGCCAAGTTTAAGTCTATGGTCGAAAGACAAAGTGGTAGAAAACTCAAAGTTTTGAGAACTGATGGTTGTGGAGAATATGTGTTGAAAGGCTTCGACAGGCTATGTGAAAAGAAGGGATTATGCATGAGGTGGTGCCACCCTATACTCCACAACAAAATGCAATTGAAAAAAGGAAGAATCGAACCATCATGAATATGGTGAGAAGTATGTTGAAAGGAAAGAATTTACCTAAAGAGTTTTGGAGTGAAGCTGTTTCGACTGCAACATACATTTTGAACATATGTCCTACAAAGAAGCTAGAAGGAATTACTCAAGAAGAATGTTAGTCTCGTGTGAAGCCTAGCTTGAGTCATCTGAAGGTATTTGGATCTATTGCACATAGACATGTGCCAGATCAGTTGAGAAGAAAACTTGACGACAAGTCAAGTCAAATGGTTCTAGTTGGATATCATTCGACAGGAGGCTATAAGTTGTTCGATCCAGTGAAAAAGCAGATTGTGATCAGCAGGGACATGAACATAGATGAGTTTAAAGAATGAGATTGGACTGATAATGTCAAGAAAGATTCAGTGGGAATCCTTCTTGAAGAGCCAGAAACTCAAGTCGAAAGAGAAGTTCGACAAGAGGAACCAGCAGATATACCAAATACAAGCAGGCCTCAAAGAACAAGACGCATGCCTGCAAGATTGCAAGATTGTATGATTACATCAGATGATGTAATAGACAATGAAGGCGAGTTGGTACATTATACTTTCTATGCAGATGTCGAACCTGTTAATGCAGTTGAAGCATTAAAGGATTCGAAGTGGGTGAAAGAAATGAACGAAGAAGTAAAGTCTATCGAAGACAACAACACTTGGTCACTTGTCGAGTTGCCTCAAGGCAAGAAGGCAATTGATGTCAAGTGGGTATACAAAGTGAAAACGAATTCGAAAGGTGAAGTAACTCGACACAAAGCAAGACTTGTGGCAAAAGGATTTCTACAGAAAAAAGGAATGACTTCGATGAAGTTTTTGCACCTGTTGCTAGGATCGAAACAATCAGGTTGGTTGTTGGTCTAACAGAAATAAACAGTTGGGACATATGTCAGATGGACGTGAAGTGTGTATTCCTAAATGGACCCTAAGATGAAGAAGTCTATGTTAAACAACCAGTTGGGTTTATGAAACATGACGAAGAAAGAAATATGTACAGGCTACATAAAGCCCTGTATGACTTGAAACAAGCTCCAAGGGCTTGGAATAATAAAATTGATAGTTTTCTAAGGGAGAAGGAATTTGTGAAGTGCACAACTGAACATGGAATATATGTAAGAAGAAGCAAGAGTAAATTACTTATACTATGTCTCTATGTAGATGATTTGTTGATAACAGGTAGCTGTAAAAGTGACATCGAAGACTTCAAAGGTGATCTCAGCAAAGAATTTGAAATGTCTGATTTGGGAGATTTCATATTTCCTTGGCATCGAATTCTACAAGAGCAGTAGAGATTTGATGATGCATCAAAGAAGATATGCAGGAGAAATTCTCAAGAGGTTTGAGATGGAAGAATGCAACTCAACATCGACACCTGCAGAACCAAGACTGCAACTATCGAAAGATGCAGATGAAGACGATGTTGATCCAACCCAATACAAAAGACTTATTGGATCATTGAGCTACCTTTGTCATACAAGGCCTGACTTAGCATACATTGTAGGTATGGTAAGTAGATTCATGCAAAAGTCAAAGGTATCACATCTAGCAGCAGTGAAGAGGATACTAAGGTATCTCAAAGGAACTTTCGATTATAGAATTTTGTTTCCTGCTGCTGATAAAGGAAAAGAATGCAAGTTAGTGGAATACACTGATTCGAGTTGGTGTAGTGATGTTGAAGATCTAAAGTCAACAGCAGGATATGTGTTTATGCTAGGTGGTGCACCAGTTCTTTGGAATTCAAGAAAGGAACCAGTAGTGGCATTATCATCATGCGAAGCAGAATACATAGCTACTTCTCTTTGTGCATGTCAAGCAACTTGGATGGTGAACTTGGTCGAAGAGATAACAGGGAAAGATCATGGAGCAATTACCATGAAGATCGACAGCATGTCAACTATCAATCTGGCGAAGAACCCAATAGCACATGGTCGAAGTAAGCACATCGAAATGAGGTTCCATTATCTTCAAGAGCAGGTAGCAGATGGGAAGATGAATTTGGAACACTGCAAAACTGAGAATCAGATTGCAAACATCATGACGAAGGGAGTGCAAGTCGAAGTATTCAGAAAGCTAAGAGCCATGATGAACATAGATAGTTTAGACACAATGAATTAGGTGGTGTGTTAAATTGTAATCCAGTGTGTCGAAACTATGTGTCGAAAAGATTTGATTTGTTTTAGATTTAAATAGATTTGATTTAAGTCTAGAATAAATTAGATTTAATTTAGTAACAAAAAGATATTTTGGGCTTTGGGGTTAGGGTGTAAGCTCAGTTATAAATAGAGGGAGTAACCCCTATTTTTGTAAGCAAGTCAAGCAAGTCATTCACAGTATTTTGCAGTTGTAAAGTGTAATAAAATTTTCACAGTTTGTGAGCTGAGAGAAACTCTACAGAAATTATTTGTCTTATCTTCTTTTCTTTGTTTGTCTCATAATTAAATTGTCATTGTGGTAGAAATTCATCATAGAATTTGGTAGATTTCCAACAATCACTAGTGCAGAAATGACTTTTTACATCGGGTGAAATTGACTTTTTACATCGGTTTTGGGTCCGATGTAAAGTCATGCGATATAGTAAATCAGGGACTTTTTACATCGGTTCTGGGACCGATGTAAAAAGTCCCTTTTTTACATCGGTTATAATATCAGAACCGATGTAATAACCTGTTATTATGCACATTTTTTTATTACTTTATTACATCGGTGGATATTTCACCCGATGTAATAGCTTGCCACGCGTTGATTTTTTTTTTGTTTTTATTACTTTATTACATCGGTGGATATTTCACCCGATGTAATAGCTTGTGTTGACACGCGTTGGTTTTTTCTCCTTTTTTTAATATATCTTTTATACTAAATCCAACGAGTTTATTACATCGGTGGAAATTCCAACCGATGTAATAGCTTTCTTATATTTTTTTAACGTTTTAGACACGTTGTCTCTTATTTACAAAAATGCCACCGTATTTTTTTTTTGTAAATCTTTTACATCGGTGGATGAGATTGCCCGATGTAATAGGTGACAAAAAAAAATTTCCTTATTTTTTATATCATTGTAAATAAATACCTGATGTAAAAAGTTTGTTAACTGTATTTTTTACATCACATATTTTGATACCCGATGTAAAAACGTTTTCTGAAATATCTTTTTTTTTAGTAGTTAATATTCATCCTCCTAATTTATAAATTAGCAAAATTAATAATATTATAGTTTTCTTAATATTTAGATCTATATAAAGATATTTTATGTTTAGGATCGAAAATAAAACTTAAGAAGAATTATTGCATCCAATCTAATAACTTAAACAAGGGCTAAAGTTGTTTAAAATGTAGATTGAGGGGTAAAATATCTCCTTCAATATTGGGCTCCACATACCAAAAAATTCCACAAAGTTGATGGCAAAAAAAATTCAAATGTCTCCTTCAAGACTTGCTACTAAGAAAAATATGCATTTTCTATGAATGTTACTCGATTTTTCATATTCACACAAACTAGACTTATCTTATCAGATAGCAAAATAGCAAAATTGTAATGAACTTGCGTGTGATAATATAAGAGTGGGCAAAGAGCATGCTAGTGACACACAACATTGCATACAGTTCATTACATCTCATAACAATGAACTTAAGAAAATCTTTGGCTTATAATTTTTATGGTCTGAAAATATGGGTGGCCTTTCTTCTTGTTTTGGTTTTCATCCTTGGGACACAATCTGCCACAACAGTATCTCAAATTCAAATGGAAGCAACCGCCATATTGAATAGTGGATGGTGGGATACATCTTACCAGGAGAGGTCTGATGCACAGAATAATATCAAAAGACGTTGCGATTGGCGCGGTATATTATGCAATGAGGATGGAAGCATCAAAGAAATCAACATGAAAAGTCCTATTCTTGATGCTAAATTTTCAGCACTCAAACTATCTGCTTTTCAAAGTTTAGAAATTCTTGTTTTAAGTTCAATTGGACTGCGAGGGACTGTTCCAGTTGAAATCGGTCTCCTCTCCAAGCTCACTCATCTTGATTTGTCTTCTAACTATCTTGAAGGTAGCATACCTCCTTCATTACAGAATCTCACAAAACTCACTCATCTTGATTTGTCTTTTAATATGTTTAAAGGTAACATACCTCCTTCATTACAGAATCTCACAAAACTCACTCATCTTGATTTGGCTTCTAACTATCTTGAAGGTAACATACCTCCTTCATTACAGAATCTCACAAAACTCACTCATCTTGATTTGTCTTCTAATATATTTGAAGGTAACATACCTCCTTCATTACAGAATCTCACAAAACTCACTCATCTTGATTTGTCTTCTAATATGTTTGAAGGTGAAATACTTCCTTCATTACAGAATCTCACAAAACTCACTCATCTTGATTTGTCTTCTAACTATCTTGAAGGTAACATACCTCATTCATTACAGAATCTCACAAAACTCACTCATCTTGATTTGGCTTTTAATATTTTTAAAGGTAACATACCTCCTTCATTACAGAATCTCATAAAACTCACTCATCTTGATTTGTCTTCTAATATGTTTAAAGGTAACATACCTCCTTCATTACAGAATCTCACAAAACTCACTCATCTTGATTTGTCTTCTAATATGTTTGAAGGTGAAATACCTCCTTCATTACTGAATCTCACAAAACTCACTCATCTTGATTTGTCTTCTAATATGTTTGAAGGTGAAATACCTCCTTCATTACTGAATCTCACAAAACTCACTCATCTTAATTTGTCTTCTAATATGTTTGAAGGTGAAATACCTCCTTCAATAGGCAACTTTAAACAATTAAAGTATTTGGATATCTCTCATAACAGCTTTAACGGTTCCATTGCCTTACTAGGAAATCTCACACAACTACAAGTGTTAGACATCTCTAGCAACATGATTCAAGGTTCCATTCCTCGTGAGTTGAGGTTCCTAAAAAATCTCACAAGATTAAATCTATCTTACAATAGATTTAGAGGTAAGGTGCTTCCATCACTAGAAAATCTCACAAAACTCACTACTCTTGATTTGTCTTGTAATGCACTTCAAGGTGAAATAACTCATTCACTAGGCAATCTTAAACAACTAAATCACTTAGACATCTCTAACAATTTGTTCAACGGTTCCCTGCCATCTAACTTGGATCAACTACCCAATTTGCGAGTGTTAGATTTAAGTAAAAACTTTATCGGTGGGACCTTTCCAGTTTCCTTAAGAAATCTTTCTCAATTAGACATACTTGACATTTCCCACAATTTACTCCTTGGCCCCCTTCCTTCCACAATGTTCCCATTTCTCACAGTGGACCTCAGTTACAACCATTTTAGTGGAGAAGTCCCATATTCGTTTGGAAGTTTTGAACGACTTTATCTCAACAATAACAATTTAACAGGAACGATTCCCAAATCTCTCTGTGGTTCCGGTTACGTGGATATTTCCTACAATTGTTTCAAGGATCTCATTCCACATTGTAGTAACATTTATACGAGGAACAAGGATGAATGTATCAACATTTCTTTTAACAAATTCCAACATGGGTCACCTCATAAGACAAAGAATAGAGAAAGGCATTTTATTGTCATAGGTATTTCAATTTTCATTACTCTAACTCTAGCATTCTCACTCCTGATATGCTTTAAACTTCGTCATAGTTCAATAAAAAACAATCATGAAATCACAACGAGAACAAAGAATGGAGATTTTTTTAGTATATGGAATTATGATGGAAAAATTGCATATGATGACATTATAAAAGGAACTGAAGACTTTGACATAAGATATTGCATTGGAACAGGAGCTTATGGAAGTGTTTATAAGGCACAATTACCATGTGGTAAAGTTGTTGCCTTAAAGAAACTTCACGGATATGAAGCTGAGATTCCATCTTTTGACGAGAGTTTTAGAAATGAAGTGAAAATATTGTGTGAAATTAAGCATCGACATATTGTGAAGCTTTATGGTTTTTGCTTGCACAAAAGAATAATGTTTTTGATTTACCAATACATGGAGAGAGGAAGCTTGTTCTCTATCTTATATGATGATGTAGAAGCCATAGAATTCAGTTGGAGAAAGAGAGTTAACTTTGTGAAAGGAGTTGCATTTGGTTTGTCATATCTTCATCATGATTCCCTGCCTCCCATTGTGCATAGAGACGTATCTAGTGGCAACATCTTGCTAAATTCTGAATGGGAGCCAAGTGTAGCTGACTTTGGCACAGCTCGAATTCTTCAATACGAATCATCCAACCGAACCATAGTTGCTGGAACTATTGGATATATCGCTCCAGGTAAATTATTTATTGCACTTTCTTTATATGTGGGAGGAAAGAATATAGTAGGAAATTTTAAGTATTTTCTTGACTTGTTTTAATATGACCAAATTGAATTGATTAATGCAGAGCTTGCATATACTATGGTTGTGAATGAAAAGTGTGATGTATATAGTTTTGGTGTAGTTGCACTTGAAACTTTAGTGGGAAGACATCCTGGAGATATATTGGCATTACTTCAATCAACATCAACAAAAGATATCAAATTATGTCAAGTATTGGATAAGCGTCTCTCACTTCCAAACAATGACATAGTTATACGCGACATAATTCGTGTTGCGGTACTTGCATTTGCCTGCTTAAATCTAAATCCTTGTTTACGGCCAACAATGAAAAGTGTTTCGAAAAGTTTTGTCATTGAGCTTCCACCATTCAGCATTCTTTTGAGTGGAGTTTCGTTGCAACAACTCATGAGTCATGAACTCAAGGCTTTATTTCATATTGCGAATCTTTGAATAAAATTTAGTGACTTATAATTTAACGAAAATATTGTTGTATATGTTGCTAGAAAATAATATTGAATTATGTTGTTCAGGCATCTTTTATGTGTATTAATATAGGCATGTTTTCAGTGCATTTGAATAAAATGTAATTACATCTCTTTTCCATAATTGGTATTACTTTATTTAATTAAAATAAATAAAGATAAGTCAATTACTTCAATCAAAATTGCAATTGTAGATAACTGTTAAATAAAACTGCAATGGTAAATAACTGTTAATTTATGACACAAGTTTGGGATGGAATCATTTTGGTTTAGAGTCATATTCGATTTTCAAACGAATTTTGGACGGATTGCAAAGAAGTTAATATTTATAATATTTTGTCCAAAATCTAAGATGGTCTGAGATACACTATATAATGTTTCGTATTATTTTTTATTTTAGTTAGTTTTGGCTCAAAGGTGAAAGTTTGAGATAAAGTTGAACCAGAAGTCACTACTTTGATTTTTTTTTTTTTGTGTGAATCCCGTCTCAAATCTATGTGAAAGTTTCATGATATGGGACAGACAAGACAGACATAATTGTCCGCTATTTTGTTCATTATATATGTTTGAGTTAAATTTGTTTGTAATAAGTGCGAAAATTTTAGACAAATTTGAGATAGAGGTTAAGTTAGTAGTGGAGTAGTTGATAGTTGATAGAAGATAGTTTTAGAGAGTTGTTTAGAAAGAAAGTTATGTCTTTGATTTCTTGGATGATACATTACAAGATACCAAATGCCTATTTATAGGCTCAAGTCACCAAACTCTCAATGGTGGTGAATGTTTCTACATTACTTTAGATTTTTCTAGAGTTTTCATGATATGTTGGTATCATGATAGTTCTAGGTTTTTCTATCTTTTACATACACTTATACTTCTAGATTATTCTACCATACTCATACACACTATAGTTTCTACGGTATTCTACCATTACCATACATATTATATTTAGAATATTCTAGAAATTTGTAGCAATTTCAACACTCCTCCTTGATGCAAATTTCTGTAACTCCAAACATAGTTCGCAGCTCTTCAAATCTTGGTCTCGGTAACGCCTTCACGAATATGTCTGCAATTTGTTCTTCTGTTTTGCAGTAGTCAAGTTTGATCTCCTTAGGTTCTTCAACTTAATAAAGTGATACTTGATTGCTATGTGTTCTGTTCTACTGTGATGCACTGGATTTTTCGCCATTGCAATTGCTGATTTGTTGTCACAATTAATTTTAGTAGGCTCATTTTGTTTTTCTCCCATGTCTTCAAGTATCACGCGAAGCCATATAGCTTGACTCGTTGCTTCAGCAGTAGCCATATACTCTGCTTCTGCTGTTGATTGTGCAATTGTAGCTTGCTTCTTCGACGCCCAAGAGAAAACTCCTAATCCTAGTGAGAAGGCATAGCCAGAGGTGCTCTTCATGTCATCTACCGAACCTGCCCAATCACTATCGGTGTAGCTAAGTAATCATGAGTTGGTATCGGTAGTGTACCATATACCAAACTCTTTTGTTCCTTGTAGATACTTTAAAATTCTTTTTCCTGCTCCAAACTGTATTTGAATTGGGCTTTGCAAGAATCTTGATAGAAGACTTATAGCATACATTATGTCTGGCCGTGTAGCTGTCAAATATAGAAGGCTTACAATTAGATTTCGATATTTGGATGGATCAACTTCTGGTGTTCCATCATTCTTCTGTAGTTTCTCATTTGTTATGAGTGGAGTAGCGATAGGTTTGCAACCGTACATATTGAATTTCTTAAGTAAGCCTTCTGTGTATTTCTTTTGCGAGATAAATATCCCTTCATTTCTCTGACTTACCTCTATACCGAGGAAGTAACTCATCAAACCAAGGTCGGTCATCTCAAAGGTCTTCATCATGTCTTCTTTGAACTTCATCATCGTCTTGGTATTATTTCCCGCATAGATAAGGTCATCTACATATAGAGAGAGTAAGAGAGTGTACTAACCTTGAGAATTGATGTAAAGTGTAGGCTCACTCTTGCTCCTCCTGAATCCTTGATCTATGAAATACTAATCAATTCTGCTATACCATGCTCGAGGTGCTTGCTTCAAATCGTAAAGTGCTTTTCTTAGTCTTAACACTTTGCTTTCTTCTCTTTCAGAAATGAATCCTTGTGGCTGCTCCACATAAATCTCTTCTTCAAGTACATCATTGAGGAAGGCTGATTTGACATCTAGTTTCTGAATACTCCATCCTCTTTGTTCCGCAATAGCTATTAGAGCTCTAATGGTATCAAGACGAGCTACTGGTGCAAATGTCTCATTGTAGTCAATCCCAGGTTGCTGTGAGTAACCCTTAGCTACTAACCTTGCCTTGTGTTTCTGTATGGTGCCATCAAGGTTGAGCTTTATCTTATAGATCCACTTAACCCCAATGATATCTTTTCCATGGAAACGATTTACTAACTCCCGTGTGTTGTTTTTCTCGATCATCTTTATATCTTCTTCCATTGTCTTGACCCATACTTCTTGATTTGATGCTTCTTCAAAGCTTCCAGGTTCAAGTATGGCCAAGTTACAGGTTTCATATATATATATTCATCAAAGATCTTCCTCGTCTGGGAGTAGACTCTGATGATGATAATTCTTGATCATGTTGTTATCGTGGAGGTGAAGAAGGTTCACCTGGGCCTTCTTCCTCAGATTCTTCTTAAGGTAGTTGAGCTGGTATAAGGATGTTCTTCTCCACTTTTTTTTCATCCCAATTCCAAGAAGCACTCTCATCAACTTTAACATCTCGACTGATGATGAGTTTTTTAGTTTGCAAGTTGTAGACACGGTAGCCTTTAGAGATTATGCTATACCCCAGAAAGATACCTCGTATACTTTTCTCTTCAAGCTTGTGCCTCTTCACGTCTGGAATATGAATGTAATATATAGATTCAAAGACCCTTAGGTGCTTTGCTGATGGCTTCTTCATGTTCCAAGCTTCAATTGGAGTCTTATCTTGTACTGACTTAGTTGGACATCTGTTAAGTATGTAAACAGCAGTGTAGACTGCTTCAGCCCAGAATATGTTAGGAAGTCCCTTCTCCTTGAGCATCGATTTAGCCATATCCATAATTGTGCCATATCCATAACTGTGTGATTCTTTCTCTCAGATACACCATTTTAACTAAAGTCCCTTCTCTCATGTATTAATTTAACTACGTCCAATGTATGACCGAACGTAGCTCTGATGCCACTGTTAGTAGTGGTGTAGTTGATAGTTGATAAATGATAGTTTTAGAGAGTTGTTTAGAAAGAAGGCTATGTCATTGATTTTTTGGATGATACATTACAAGGTACTAAATGCCTATTTATAGGCTCAAGTCACCAACCTCTTAATGGTGGTGAATGTTTCTACATTACTTTAGATTTTTCTAGAGTTTTCATGATATATTAGTATCATGATAGTTCTAGGTTCTTCTATCTTTTACATACACTTATAATTCTAGATTATTCTACCGTACTCATACACACTATAGTTTCTAGGATATTCTACCCTTACCATACATATTATATTTAGAATATTCTAAAAATTTGTAGCAATTTCAACATTCTCAAATCTTTTTACGAATTTTTAAGGAGATTTGGGAAAAAATTATGCCATTATTACAATATTCTGTTTTGAAAAAGAAACAAACAATGCATATATGTAATGTTTTAGAAAAAAAACAAATTAAAAGTAAATAGTGTATGTAGGTGTTACCTTTATTTTTAAGTATTATTATTCTAAGGATTATGGCAAAGAATTGCAAATGCAGCCATTGAGTTGGGATTATTTTAAAGTTATTCAAAATTGTTCTATTCACACTCTAATGAAATTGAAAATAATTTAAACTAATCCATTAATTCAAATAATTACATCTAACTCAAGATCCTTAAAAAAATAATTATACTTAATAATACTAAATTATTATTGTTACTATTATACTAATAAAATACTATAGTATATTAGTAAAGTTGGACAAGATTTTAAATGTAAAGCATAGGTACTTAAGTGCCAAACTTTCAATTATCACAGTAACGTGTTTCATTCAATTGTGTCATAGCTTCACGCTACAGTAGACATCAATATGTTATGTTTTATCAATTTGTTATCTCTCAACAAAACATATGGCTACAGTATGCATGCATAGATCATACGCCACAGTAACACATATATTATAAAGAAGAAATGCGTATATCAGTGTATAATTTCTAACAAAGCAATGTATATAGCAACGTATACAATATCATTAAATTGACGCTATAATATCATATATATCTCTTTTTCAGAATTTCAAAAACTAAATTATATACAAACTAAACATATTTACAACAAAGTCGAGATTATTCAATGAATATCAACAAAAAGTATCGATAAGTGCCACATATTATATACACAAAATTACAACATTATGGCACTTATCACTTAACGAGGGGGAGTTCGCTTAGCGAAGAAGGGCATCGCTCCGCAAGAGAGGCCGGTGTGGAATTTTTATTGCTTTTGGGACTCTCTCTCTCTTACCGAGTTATGAATGCGCTTACCAAGAGCTCTCCTAGCAAATTTCATGGTCGATTAGCAAGTGATGACTGTGTTAGTTGTTCTTTGATCATGTTTTGAGCTTTTCTTGATCCTAATGATCGTTAATTACTATTTTGTTGTGTTTGATGAGTTGTTAATTATTTTACATGGTTTTTAATAGTTAATGTTTAGTTTAATGGTGAGTGGCCATGAAAGGTGAGTTGTTTATGAGTGTAGTTTAGATGTGAACTATTGTAAAGGCTTTTTGATGTTGTGAAATCCAAAGTGGAACCAATTGTGAAATTAATGCACCTGTTTATGTTATGGATGCATATCATGCATCATGTGTGTTGAGGTTGAGAAGTGATGAGTCACTGGTTCAGAAGAGGAGATCAGTGATGAGTTTGGATTCAAAGAGGAACCTCAAGAAGTGGATGAATGTCAATAACATAAATCTGATGTCCAC